TACACATACACATACATATACACACACACACGTACCCACACACACACACATCCATACACATATCTTTTGAGAACTGCATAAGTACATTATGATAACTTAACCCTTTAAGTTCCTAACAGCAACCCAGTCTCGCCCTCCTCCAGGGTCTCGCCCGGCTGCAGATCCAGAAACTCCATAAGGTCCACGAGGTTCACGGAGATCTCGCCGCTGGCCGGCGGACCTGATACTATGGAGCATCAGGCTGGCTGTTAGGAGGTACTTTTGCCTCTCTCTCTCTCTCTATATGTATGTATGTACGTACGTAAGTATGTATGTACAAGAGTGTGCTGGTTGATTATTCAGAGATACATGCTTGAACTATCTGCGTGTAGGTATACGGTACACATTCACGACGTGCCTGCTGCGCATCTTTGGGGCGCGGAGGCCAACACTAGGCCTGCGAAGAGTTCCGTGACGTTTTAGTCAGGTTCCTCTCGCAAGGTCCCTGAATCTTCCAGACATCCGAAAAATCCATTAAAAAAGTCGAAAACTTAACAAAATACCCAAGGCACGCTTCACAACCGCATCGCTCCGCCAGGGATCCCGTGGCAAACCCATCTTTGTGAAGATGGAATCCAACTCCTCAACGGCTTCCAGGACGGAGGTGACGAAGTTGGCATCCCTGAAGCGAATGCTCGCCTCGAGACAAGTGTACAACTGCACTTCATACTGCAGAGGAGGGTGCCTCACCATTATAGGACCATAGTACTGGCCACGATTTCGGCAACTACACTACACTCTAATTGTCGTGGGTGAGATGGCCGGCTCAAGTCAAGAAAGTCCACTGCCTGAAAGATGTCCCTCCAAGAACTCATGAAAGGCATTCAATGCAATCTGGCAAGCTCAAGGGAAGGCTATTTGCAAACACCTGCTTACGTCGCATCACGAAGCCGACGAAGCCCTGACCCCGCATGCAAAACCGCCAACGGTCATGGTTCAGCTGCAAGCCTCCATCCATCATTTCAACCCTGAACTCTGAACACCAAACCCTAGACCTTACGCCCTACGACCGAGATCACGATTCCCTCGCTCTCGCGGTTTGTTTCGAAGATCCCTTGCGCCTTCAGGGTCAGGTCCAAGAACGCATTGGGAATGCCAAATTCCCGGATGGCCTTGATGCCAGCTGTTCGCTCCCCTGGTCCAAACATTGCCGCCATGCCATCCATGGGCACTCCCTTGTATCTCATCCACTCCAGAATCTGAGTCTCGGGAGTGTAGGAAGACCCGTAATATTGTCCTGCAAGTCTTGCGTTCTTAACAAAGGTTTTTTTGGGTTGGGACCCTGAACAAGAGTTCCTGAACCATGTGACAATCACGGGTGGCAGACCTGGGCAGCACTGTCCTGTGATAGCGACATCCTTGAAGCCCATGCGCCGGATGATCTCGAGGGTCAGGAACTTCATGTAGCCGGTGTGTCCGAAAGGAGTGTTTGTGGCAGGCTCCCGAACCTGGAATGACATTGTACGGGCACCGGATTCTTCAGCATGTGCCATGCGTTCATGTACCCTAGTAATGAGTGATATGCCCTGGTTAGTACTAGGCCCTGGTACTAACCAGGGCATATCACGCATATCACTCACCATATATCCGTACAGCAAGCTTAGTACTTCAGCTCCCCGACAGCAACCTGACAGCAATCCAGGAGCGGTCTGGTCCATAACCACAGGGCGAAGCTTGCGCAAGAGCTCGCTTTTGGACGCGGGGGTAATGTCCCTCACCTGATACGAACTTCAGATGCTACAACCAAGATCAGGCAAGTACTGTCTCAGGCTACTAACTCTGTTGGGCTGCTTGCCTGTAAATGTTCACGATGTTGCGGTTGAGGGTTGCATGTCGGATGCTACATAGGTGTGCTGTCTGGGGAGTTCTGTGTTCAGGTACTTCGCAAAGTTTCCAACATCCTGGCGTTGAGGGTTTACATGTTTCAGCCTAAACAAGATGCACGACGGAGAAGCCTGGAAGTGCAAATCCTACACCTCAAACCCCTAAACCACAAACAAACCCTAGACCAGAAGCCACTACAGTCTCAACCGAAAATCCTCACCCCGAAACCGTAAGGACAGGAAACAAATCAGGGTCGTTGATGCTAAGCCGTAGCCATGGCACTTTCCACGGTACCCGTGTGCCCGGCTCATCGAGCAGCTGTAAGAAGTGTTCGGTCTCTCTCCGGATCTCCATCCACATTCGGTGGTCCGGCGCCAAGAGAAAATCCTGAGGGGAAGTTCTGTTTAAAGGGGCGGGGGGGGTAGAAGAGTGAGGTTTGGAGGTTTAAGGCCTGGAGTATATCCCAAACCCCTGAACTTTGCAAATAGACTTCCTAAGACAGTGCCCTAAAGAATGAACTCAACACCCTAAACTCCGCACCCAGTGCACTTCTACACCTCTTACCTATACCGCAAAATGCCCATAGTCTCTGCATCCCAGGCGCCTGAAACCTTACACCACGCAAACGGCTAGACTCTGAGCCCCGAACCCCACAACCCCCAAACCCCCTCCTTGATCTCCTCGGGTGTCAGGAGCCCGAAAACGCTCTGCTTCAGGTGCTCGTCGGCCACGGGCTGCCGTGCTTCCTGCAGGTTCAGCAGAATTTCAGATTCAAGGTTCGAAGTGCGGGGGTCAACTATGAAAGATTTTTCAGTTATGCATATGGCTTAGGCGCTAGAATCACTAGAACATCAGTTGAAACCCAGTATGGAGCAACCAAATCCGCTCCTGACAGCAAGCCTTCAGGAGCTCGTCGCCGTTGGCCTCTTCCTGGGCTGCGGCTAAGTTACCCTTATCCGGAAAATCGCGTCGTTTACCACATAATTCTCCGCATATTCTGACAACTTTCGTAGTCCCATTACAGCAACCCAGCGTCCGGCGTCTGGAAGCACCTGTAGATGTCATCGAGGGTCTGGCAGACGTGGATCCCCAAAGGGGTGCTCGATCCGGCCGGCCGGAGCCGGGGCCCATCCGTCTGGAGGCTCTGCTGGACGTCCTGTGCTACCTGTGGGCTTTTTTCTCTGTGCGTGTGTGTGCGTGTGTGTGTGTGTATGCATGCCTGCATGCATGCATGCATGCATGCATGCATGTATGTATACATGTATGTGTATGTATGTGCGTATGTATGCATGCATGCATGTGTGTGTATGCAACTA